GTGTGTGACTTGCTGAAGTTTATTTCTCCATAGTGAAGGTCTTCATTCTTCTTCTGAACGCTTGGTTTCTTCTGATGGTCGACTGTAGTGTACTCCACATCTGCAGACAGATTATAAAGCAGATCATTTCTGCTTAATGCTGATCAATAAAGAATAATCTTGTGTTTATAGATGTATAGAAGGTATAAGAGCCAGTGATCACCAACTTCACAATCATATTTTTTGCTCAAATTAGGTGTGAATTGGAGACATGTGTGGTAATAAATATAATTATGAGACTAACTATAGGGAATTATTATTTCACCAAACATATTTTCTTTTATTTTCTGATGAATTAAATGTATTTATAATACTTTGATTTCATTTGTAAATCTACAAAAAAACACATGTTTTTTTATATTTTTGACCAAATTAAGTGTGAATTGGGAAAATTTCTCATAATAAATATAGTTTACAGCATGTAATGCAGGCTAAAAATGCTGTATTATTTTTTCACCAAATATATTGTTGTTTACTTTATATTCTTATTTTATTTGCTACATGTGTGTCTATTTATATTTATTTAATCTGAGATTTTTTAGACTTTTTACAGGATTTTAAAAACGTATACTGCATTAGGTTTGCATGCGTATATTTTATTACATTTTTTTATTAATGTTTATTTATACACATTGATTATTTCACTAAATATTTTTATTGACTTTATTTTCTTACTTTTATTAGCTAAAATGAATGTATTTGTACTGTATCTAATTTCTAGTATTAATATTTTATTTACATTTTTAATAAGATTTAATAGATTTTTTGAGTATATTTAAAATGTAAATTATGTCTTGTTTGTATGTATTATAACTAATCTATTTGCAGACGAATGCTAAATTTACATTTTAAGTTAATTTTACGCAGAAACATTTATCTGTAATGTATTTCATATTTGACACAGTTTTGTATATGCATATATATATACATATATTATATCACATAGTTATATTGTATATATTATATACAACTATATATTATTGTTTTAAATTATATAATTTATAATTTATGTGATAAAATAAATCACACTAATTCATTCATTCATTCATTCATTTTCTTTTGGGCTTTTTGAGTTGCCACAGCGGAATGAACCGCCAACTTATCCAGCACGCTTTTACGCAGCCGGTGCCCTTCCACCCACAACCCATCCAATGGGAATCATCCACACACACACTCATTCACACACATACACTATGGACAATTTAGCCTACCTAATTCACCTGTACTGCATGTGTTTGGACTGTGGGGGAAACCGGAGCACCCGGAGGAAACCCACGCGAATGCAGGGAGAACATGCAAACTCCACACAGAAACACCAACTGACCCAACTGAGGCTCGAACCAGCGACCTTTTTGCTGAGAGACGACAGCACTACCTACTGCGCTATTACGTCGCCCCTAAATCACACTTAAATAATTTCTATTATAATTGCTGTGATATAATAATTCACATTTATATAATTAATAATTCATCACACATTTATTTCATATTATTTTGCATGCATATTTACTGGTCTTATGTGAGAATCATCATGACTCTGTTGTTTCTGTCGTTTTCGTGACTCAGAGTCAGCACTGTGGTGACGAATGCTGTTACAAACGTTAAAGAGAAAAAACCCTTTGGCTTTTTTGGTAGATGTGCGGTCACTAAAGCTTCTGCTAAACGACTCCTTCTTCATCATTTGGTCTTTAAAATGGAAATTATGTGATGACTTACATCACAGGAAAACATTGCATGAGTTTAATACACAATTCAGTGTTCACGATCAATTCTGGGTGACTTTATCCTTTAGTCATAATAATCAGTCAGTAATTATTCAACTAATCAGTGCTGTGATGGTAGTTTTGACTGACCTGATGGTGGTTTGGCCTTCTTCTTCTTCTTTCTGTAAAAGAAATAAAGCACGGAGAGCAACACTATGAGGATTACAGCAAGACTTCCCAGAACTTTTGCTGCCAGTGAAGGATCTGCAGAGAGAAAAACACAAGATGTTTAAGAAAAGTTAAACTGATAGAACAGCGAACAGAAAGTATGAGTTTATGAGATGTAGATGCTTCGCTGTTGTTTTTAATGCTTAACCTGTATTTTTCAATCTGCTCTGATCACAGTTTACTATTTTTTCACAGTACATTTGTATTTTGTCTTGTATTTTATAAGAGAATACTGTATACCCAAACCCAACCTTTCAATTGAATATATATTATAACCATAAAATGCATTTATTTGACTTTTATTAATTAATGTTTGTACATTTTCAGCTTTCATGTTCTAAGAATTCAGCATAAAAGCAGATCTTCTTCTTTATTTTTTATTTTTTTTATTTATTTATTTTTTTTTTTACAAAAAATCAGGGCAGAAATGCCAAAAAAAAAAGTCCACAGATGGTGTCTGGTGCTACTCGTGTGTATGAGAGTGAGAAATATGGAGAATCTGAATCTAAAGAGAGAGTTACTGTACCTTCAATATTTACTTGTAGATCTGCTGTAGATGTTACAGTGCCATCAGAGTTATGGACAAATAATGTGTAAATCCCAGAATCTGCTGTGATCACTGAGTTTATTATCAGAGTCCCATTACTGACTTTCACATCAGATCTGTTCTCATACAGATCACAGTCACTCTTGATTGTGTCATCTTTTATTCTACAAACTGGACCATATGCTGGGCTGTTTATTCTCTTCTTCATCTGTATCTCATATATTCTAGTGTTCGGCAGCAGCTGCAGACTAAGTTTATCTCCAGGAGCTGCATTACAGGGACCAGACTGATTAAACCAGCAAACACGATCCACACCTGAAACACACACACACACACATACAGTGAGAGGGAGAGAGAGAGAGAGAGAGAGTGAAACATTTTGGTCTTCAACATGAATTACAGTTTTTTAAATTGTTCACACACTAAAATCAAAACTCTCCCACAATTAACAAAACCTTGAACCACCGACCTAATGTAGATTAACTGTAGAGCTCACACACACTGCCAGATCATTACAGACAGTGATTCGCAGAACACTTAACACACTTTTATGCATTAGATATGCAGATTTATCATGATCGGATTCCCTTTCAGGCTGCATGGTGGCGCAGTAGGTAGTGCTGTCGCCTCACATTAAGAAGGTCGCTGGTTCGAGCCTCAGCTGGGTCAGTTGGCATTTCTGTGTTTGCATGTTCTCCCCGTTTCCCTCCGGCTGCTCCGGTTTCCCCCACAGTCCAAACACATGTGGTGAATTGAATCAGCTAAATTGGCCGTAGTGTGTGAGTGTAATTGAGTGTGCATGGATGTTTCCCAGTACTGGGTTGCAGCTTTAAGGGCATCCCCAGCACAAAAACATATGCAGGAATAGTCAGCGGTTCATTCCACTGTGGTGACCTCTGATTAATAAAAGGTCTAAGCTGAAGGAAAACGAATGAATGATGAACTCCTTGCGATCTCAAAGCAAAGGCTTACAAATAAACACACACTCTAAACACAGCCGTCAAGTGCGCACACACACACTGGCGCAGAGCTGTAGACACACCAGTCAGGTGTAAACACAGTTTAAAAACAACGTTTGGGTTTACAGTCATCAATAAATATGGAAGTCAGTGTTACAGTAAGAGGAAGAGGAGTACAGGAGACAGGGGGAACGGGGAAATAGAAGACCAAATCTGTCTGATGCCCTTCAAGCAACTTTGATTGACCATGTTGTGATGTGTGGACTGACATTTGTGCACAAACCAGCCATAAATGTCCATTTTTGAAACAGATTGATATGATACATCATCTGGAAGCAGAAAAATATAAGCTTTTCATCGATGGTTGGCTTGTCAGGGCGTATAGGAGAGGACAGGGCATTATTTAGCTGTAAACAACACAGTATTTGGTGCTTACTGTGTTCCATATTTGCCATATTAGACAGTAAGATAGATTTAGATTGATCTACAATGGATTGAAGGTCGAGAACATAGAGGAACGTAGAGGCCTCTCTGTGTGTGTGTGTGTGTGTGTGTGTGTGTGTGTGTGTGTGTGTGTGTGTGTGTGTGTGTGTGTGTGTGTGTGTGTGTGTGTGTGTGTGTGTGTGTGTGTGTGTGTGTGTGTGTAACCACATTAAGCACTAAAAGCTGAACTGAAAGGTAAGATAAGTTTAGTTTGAGTGTTGTGGGTGTTGTAAGTGATCACACTGATAACCCTAAAAATAAGAAGTGCACTCAGGGTCAACACTCTGACTATCACTAGCAGCAGCCGGCCTTTAGCAGCCATCATGTTTATGAAGCAGTCATACGTGAGTTATTTACATTACAGAACAGCCAGAACTCATGGGGGAAACACATTAATTAATCATATATTACTATTATGCTTTATTAAAATCACCATATTCCTAAACAATTCTCTAACTTGTGAAGATGTTTGGTTTTACATTTTCAAATGAGTGTTGTAAACAACTGAAAGACATCACTAGGCACGGAGACGCTGAAAATATAGAAGCTGTTCAGGCTCTGCATAACATTACAGATGCATGATTTCAGTCATGTCCTACTGTTCAGTCATTCAGCATTAGGAATGAGTGAATGTAATGAGTTATCAGATGCACATCAGATTTAAGAAAGCGTATGAGAAAATTTGTGTTTTTATACTCACAAGTTAGAGATTATTTTAACAGAAAAATAAACAGTGCAACACTGAGCTATTTCATCACAATATTGATGTAATGTAGAGATGTAAACAACTAATGATAATGGTTTTGAGATGCATGCAAACTCATCAGATCCATTTATGTATACATTTATATATGCATTTATATTTTTTCAAAATCTAAATATATCTGAAACCTGCATCTGTAAAAATCATGTGATTTATTTGTGTCTTATATGTTGATTTTAGTTACCCCCTTTTCTGCCAGACATCTTTATTTTTATAGTTTCATGTTTATTACTTCTACAATGAAAATGAAATAATTATTTCCCCCTTTTCATTGTTAAGTATTGGAGATGAGGAGCAACATAATGAATAATAAAATCCCAACATGTCCATAATACTAAATAATATTCAAAGAATAACGTTTAAACATTGCAAAAACTCATAAGTAAGCAAAATCAAATATATAAATGCATGATAAAACAATTTCAAGACAACATTAATGTGCCCTGTACATAATGCTGTCTAATTTAAAGGGATAGTTCATCCAAAAATGAAAACGTCCTCATTATTAACTCTCCCTCAACCAATTACAAACCTTCAAGAGTTTCTTTCTTTATGTTGAACACAAAAGAAGATACTTTGAAGAATGTTAAAAACCAGTAACCATTGACTTCCATATAAAACAAATACGATGGAAGTCAATGGTTACCGATTTCCAAAAATCTACAAAATATCTTTCTCTTTTTCAACATAATAAAGAAGCTACAACAGTGACAGTAAATGATGACAGAATTACACTTTTCAGTGAACTGTCTCTATAATTCAGGAAATAAAAATGTCTGAATATACTGAATGTTTTTAACCCATTTTCTGCCAGACGTCTTTATTTTTATGGTTTATAACTTCTACACTTAAAATGAAAGAAATATTTCCCCCCTTTTTCATTGTTAATTATTGGACATAAGGAGCAAAATGACGAATAATAAAACCCCAACATGTCCATAATAATAAACAATATTCAAATAATAAAATCTAAATATTGAGAAAACTCATAAATAAGCAAAATCAAATATATAAATGCATGATAAAACAATTCCAAGACAACATGAATGTGTCCTGTACGTAATGCTAATTTAAAGGGATAGTTTAAGGGATAGTCTTAAGGGATAGTCTAATTTAAAGGGATAGTTCAGCCAAAATACAATTAAAGTGAGAGTAAATGATGACAGAATTAAACTTTTCAGTGAACTGTCCCTTTAATTCAGGATATAAAAATGTAGAAACTAAGATTTTACCCCATTTTCTGCCAGACGTTTCTATTTTTATGATTTATTAAACTTCTACACTTAAAATGAAAGAATTATTTCCCCCTTTTTCAATGTTAATTATTGGACATGAGGAGCAAATTAATGAGTACAAAATCCTACCATGTCCATAATATTAAATAATGTTCAAATAATCAAATTTAAACATTGAGAAAACTCATAAATAAGCAAAATCAAATATAAAAATAGGTAATAAAACAATTCCAACACAGCAATAATGTGTCCTGTATGTAATGAAGTCTAATTTAAAGGGATAGTTCAGCCAAAAATTAACATTTACTCACTATTTTCTTTCCCTCAACCAAATCCAAACCTTCATGAGTCTCTTTTTAAATGTTGAACACAAAAGAAGATATTTTAAATAATGTTGAAAAACCGATAACCATAAGTATTGTGAAAGTCAATGGTTATCGATTTCCAACATTCTTCAAAACATTTTCTTTTGATTTCAACAGAAGAATGAAACCCAAACTGATTTGTGACAAGTAAAGTGAGAGTAAATGATGACAGAATCTTTCTTTTTCTGTGAACTGTCCCTTTAATTCAGGAAATACAAAAGTCTGAATGTCTCTCACCTGCAGCCGTGTGCATCATCATCATCATCATCATCATTATTAATCCACAAACGAGCCTCATTTCTGCAGTCCAGAGGAGAAGAGAAGAGTGTGTCAGACCATCGACACAAACAGCGCATTACTGACACACGGAGAAACTCTTCAACACAGAGAAAGAGGAAGTTTCCTCATAGGAAGACAAGTCAGACGCTGTGGCTCAGCAGTTTCCCCTTAATCCATTTACAAAACACCGACTAAAAAAAGAAAATAGAGGCAATACAAGCTTTTAAAAATAAAAGTCAGTGGAAAATGAGCACAGCTCTCACTCTGACTTTTCCTTTAGCTCTCTCAGAACCCAGTGACAGGGGGATGTGGCCTCAAATGTGCAGTCCAGTACTCTCAGTCTAAATGCAGTTATGGAAAATAACATTTAAAGGATCATTTTGCTGCTATTTCTTACACTTTAATATGAACTATATTCAGTGGTGTAGAGTAACTAAATACTCAAATGACTGTAATTGAGTAGTCTTTCTGAGAAATTGTAATGTACTTAGTAGTCTTATAAATGTGTGCTTTTACTTTCTCTTGATGTTTAGTGCAGTATCTGTACTTTTACTCCACTAGTGTCCTTCAATCTGCAGTCATTACTTTACTTTTTCTTGTCTATGGGCATAGATATATACATTAGATGTCGCCTGGCCTATTGTTGTCTATTGGACGGAATGCGTCAATAGCGCCGCCATCTTGCTACAGGGTAGCTCTCCTTTGAAATGAATGCGGGACCAGGGTACAGTTGAGGACTGTGGACATCCAAAGCCAGAGATATGCACATATACACATATATCTATGATCGGGAGTTTTCCTGGATGTCAGTATGTAATTTTTTTTCTAATTATGAAAATTATAATTTTACATCACTTTTCTGCATTGATGGATCAGTGACCGCACGGCCATTCCTGACAAAAAGCTTGTGTTTGTGTGTACAGAAATGTACTATTCACCCTCCCTGTTAAACTTGATCTAATCATGTCCTGAAACACAGCTCCTCTCCTGCTTTCACTGCTCATACTGACGGAGGGAGCGATTCGTTTGTGAATGAATCCTCCGAACGACTCTTTCACTAACGTTAGCCGACAATAATACCAGTTTCTGGCAGCGCAGCATCTCGTTGTCATATTTCTCTTGCATTGTTTGCTGATTTTATTCAACAAAACTAGCATAAGCCGAGTGTTTAGTGCGAGTTGGAGCTGCTTTGCCGTATGGTGAATGCAGTAAGAGACTGTTATCATCAATAACGTTACCTGATTAGCACAAAAGTTCAGAACACACAAAAACAGAAAAAAAACTTATTCTTACCTATGAAATGTTCTGCCTTTGTGCTTTGTTTTCGTTGTTTGCATGTTACTACACTCGTAGACGGCGCTAAAGTCCCGCATCTTCACGTAATAACACTGTGTTGACTAGTGCGACTGAATGACATTTGTCCTGGGAGCACTGTACCAATATGGCGGCGCTATAGACGCATGCTCAGGGTCCCTATGCGATATCTAGTGTATATATCTATGGTCTATGGGGATTAGAAAACATCCAACCTAAAATCAATCAAATATCAACGTCTAATGATGTTAGTGGATGCTATGACGTCCATCAGATGTAGGATTTTGATTGCCAAACCTGATGAATAAATGTCAGTATTTGACGTCAACATGATGCTGGTTTAAGATGTTGGCTCAACAAATTACTGGAGTTTTTGGGGAGAAATAACAAAACGGGAGGGTGGCGGGAGATGGATCGGGAAAAAAGGGAGTGTTGGCAGGTGTAGAGGCCACAGTGCTAACCACTGCATATTTTACAGTAAACATGTTTGTATACGCATATACAGCAGGATAAGTGTTTCTGTAAATATAAACACAGTACTTTTGCTGTTATTTATATGCAGTAAGTTACTGGTGAACTGCGGCCAGTTGCTTGTTACACACATCAATTAAGTTTGAAAATTGCAGTTTTTATTTAATTTTGCAATTTATAAAGTGGTAGAATTGGTACTTAAATTAAATATTAACATTAGGCTCAGACATGATTAATGTACTTTTAATAAAATCATTTTTATTTTGCACCAAATTTGCACATATCTGTTATGGAGAATGCAAATATAACTAAAGAAATGCATCAACATTTTGGATTTAAAAATGAATTTTCCTAATGATATGCTTATAGTTTTAAACCTATCAGAGTTTCGATCTTCTCTTAAACACAAATATTAGAAAACGGCAACAACTTACCTCCATAGTATTTGTTTTTCCTAACATGGAAGTCAGTAGTGCAGGTTTTTATACATTCTTCAAAAGTCTTTTGTGTTTAACAGAAGAAAGAAACTCAACACCACTTGAGGAAGTGTAAATAAATAGTGAGTAAATTAACATTTTTGCGTGAACTATCCCTTTAATAAATATAGTAACTAACACTAAATGAACTCTCCCAAAGGTCAAACTACATGTGATTTAACTATTCATTTATTTTTATGCTGACTTTATTGTAATAGTATCTGGATGCAGCCTTTATGATGCAAGCTGAGATTGCATTGCTCAGAGATGCAATGTCAGACACGGTGCACTCAATGTGACGTCGGGTTAGGCGTGAGCCCATTCAAGAGTTCACCCTTAGCTGATGAGTGGTTATGAAGTGTGTTAGTCATGCTGTCCCGGGAGAGAGCCCTGAGCTCATAAGATCCTCAAGCCCAGGGCTCCCTCCCGTTTGCAGGGCGAGAGGGGAGTTTGAGCTCAGGTAGATGTGGAGAACTCCCCTGCTGTAGTAGCTAATGAACAGAGAGTAATCGCTCTTAAGAGATAAATACTGACTAGCAGCATGTCTATGGTGCTTGATTAGTCAATTAACTTAAGCTGCATGTTTTTGGATGGTGGGAGGAAACCGGGGAACCCCAGGGAACCCACGTGAGCACGGGGAGAACGTGTAAACTCTGCAGCTCAGATTGCTTCTGCACCGAGTCTGCAGTCAGACCCCTCTCCATTACTGTGGTCCTTTTTAATTTCCATGTCACAGATGAACGTTAGAGTTTTATGTTACATCTTATTATGATATACTGTAATGTTCACTGCATTACTTTAGCTTGTGTGTGTTGCCATGATGGTGTTTATTATAGTATAGTTACGAAAATGGCTAAAATGTGCAGATGTAATACAACAAAGCAATAGTGTATTCACAGAATTAATAAAGCATCGCAGTTTACCGTCAACTTTACATATTTCTTCTCTTAGTGTCTGCATGGTAAGCTTCATGCTAAAATTCTGGCGAGCACAGCTTCTGTTTGTTTATTACTGTAAAGTTTACTGATGTTTTATTTTACAGCTACAAGAATCCTTCAACAGATGAAAGAAACGCATAAAGGTTTGGATGCGCTTGAGGGAGAGTAACACTGAGTAAATGTTCATTTTGGGGTGAACTGTCCCTTTAAATCGCGCTGCATTATTTTCACACACACCATATATAATCACATGACACACGGTCACGTCTGCTCTTTATTTAACCTCCTGCTTTTGCAGTTTTCTCATATGGTGTTCACTCTTGGATATTCATCACACCACAGCATGAAAATGTAATATTCACATGTCGTTTAACTGCTGCTGTGGCTTTAAATGGGGAAATGAATTTTTTAGGGGAATTATTTTTATATCCGAGTTTTCTTTTACCACCAAGAGACTGAGAGGAAGAAAGTAATGTGCACATGAAGACATCAGCATTAATCAGCTTTCAGTTTTATTCATCTGTGACATCGCTTAGATTTTTTAATAACATGAAGATTAATAACTAAACTGCTCAACACATTCTAATATGGACCCTTAAAATATGCTAATAAGCTGCCCTTTAATTTTGCACAACATATTACATTTCACTTCCATCAATTTGATCAAAGTAACCCATTTATTCATCCATTTTCCTTCAGCTTAATCCCTTATTTATCAGGGGTCGCCACAGTGGAATGAACTGCCAACTATTCCAGCATATGTTTTACATAGCGGATGCCCTTCCAGCTGCAACCCAGTACCGAGAAGCACCCATACGCACTCATTCACTCACACACACACTCATACATTACAGCCAGTTTAGTTGATCAGTTCCCCTATAGCGCATGTGTTTGGACTGTGGGGGAAACCGGAGCACCCGGAGGAAACCCATGCCAACACAGGGAGAACATGCAAACTCCACACAGAAACACCAACTGATCCAGCCGGGACTCAAACCAGCGACCTTCTTGTTGTGAGGTGACTAAGCCACTGTGCTAGCCGTAACCCAACCAAAATGTCATTATTTAAAGTATTTATTATTATTATTCTCATCACACTTCTATTTTCTAGTCATTTATCGATTGATTTATTTGTTTACTCAGTGGTTTCTTAGGTTTCCCGGAACACTGCAGGGGAAGGGAGAGCATGTACTGTAACATAGACCAACTCCCCACCGCAGCTTTACATCTTCATTTCTGAGACTGCATAAAGCGTCTCTGCATGACCACAAGACCAGCCATCTAATAAAAACACATGCATGAGTTTAGTTTAGATCTAGTTTAGTGCCATGTGTACAATAATACTGCACACGCCTAACACTGTACACGACAACTTAAAATAACACATTTATTTCCCTCCAGCAGTGCTCAGTTGTGCTTACAGATGGGATATAAATATTCTGAGCACACAATCTAGAAGAAGCGTTCAAATGTGCAATGTTAAAATGTAAATAAATATTAAAATATACTGTAGTCCTCCGCTTTCCCCCACAGTCCAAACACATGCGCTATAGGGGGACTGATGAACTGAATTGGCCGTAGTGTATGAGTGAGTGTGAGTGTGTATTGGTGTTTACTAGTACTGGGTTGCAGCTGGTAGGACGTCCGCTGCGTAAAGCATATGCTGGAATAGTTGTCGGTTCATTCTGCAGTGGCGACCCTTGATGGATAAAGGGACTAAACTGAAGGCAAATAAATGATTGAATGAAAATATTGTCCAAAACATGAGCAATGTTATTAATAATTGCTCTGAATTCTGACATATATTCATGCGTATAAATGAATAAGTGCTGCATCACGTGAAGCAAAAACTAACTAAAATAATATAAATAACTGAAGAAAATACATGAATAAAATGATAAATAAATAAAATACAAATGTATATATATATTCAGTTTCTCTAGTTTTTATGTGGAAACACAATATTAGTTGTGTTGTTGGAGTGTGAACTGGCCTTTTACTGTTTCACAAATGGAAAATGAGTTCAAGCTCAAAGAGGAACACACTTTGTTGCTACATCTTCAGGAAATATTGCATAATACACATGCATTTAGAGGAAGAAATCTTATGTTATGTACTTTTTTTGTGTTAAATTCACCCAAAATTAAGCGTAATTACGTTTTCCAGTGATTAAAGTCTGCATCTAAAACGTTTTCAGCCATTTAATGTGTTTCAGTTGCTAGTTTTACACTCTATGATTTACTCTATGTGTTTATTTATCTTTTATTAAGCCTTAAAACAGTAATTATAAATAATTATCTTTAACAATAAAAAACTTACAAATAATCAAAAAGAAATAGATAAACACAGGGAGTATAAAAATACAAATTAAAAAGCAAAAATAGCCCATTAAACATAAGAAAACAGTTGTAAACAGATCGTTTTATAGCATTTTTGTTGTTAGTCAATTTGATCAATGAAAGATATTCTTTAAATTTGGTCATAAAAACAACAAACATAGGTCTGGAAAAAATTACTTGTGAATGTGAAATGTTGCAAGCAGCAAAAGCAAGTTCACCACATAATGTTTTATGTCTAGATTTACAGTGTGTGTGATGATGTGAAGCGTGAACGGAAATACACGCTGACGCCTGTGCGTTGTTTTGAGACTTTTATTTTGTAAATTCATTGTCTCTACCCGGAAGTTAAACAGTGGAGACC